ATCCAAGTTCTTTTAAAATAATGTTGGTGGTTTGTGATGATGTCAAAAAGGAAACAGAAGCATCAGACAGACCAGCAGCAGAGAAAAGCCTCATAACGTTTGCGCGCTGACAGAACGGCACAGAATGGTCCTGCTTACATTTATTCTAATTCTTGTGCTTCAGTGTGAAGGTAAAGCCTCCTTTATTTGTATTGCTTACTTTGATAACCACTTTGATAGCTTCATACAAGGTTTTTTGTTACTTGGTAAAAGTAGTCAACATTTGGAAGACAGAATTGTGGCATAAGCGTGAGTTCAGTTTGGAAACAAATTTAAACTTGATTTGTGATCTTCTAACAAATCCAAAGCCATTTCTGTATAATACAAAGAAATCTTTGGACACTGATTCTAAAAAAAAGGGGGGGGCGGGGAGAGAAAACAATCCTCTTAATTTAGCCAGGCTACGTTCTGCACATGCCATCACCACTGCTGTTTCTATCATCACCATAAAAATAAAGCTTGCATCAGAAGCTGCGCCTGCATCTTGGGTCCTAATCAGTGTTGGTCAAGTTACTTGAAAAAAGTAATTAGTAACTAATTACTGATTACTTCTCCAAAGAGTAATCCCTTACTTTACTTATTACTTATTTTCAAGGGTAACTAATTACTTAGTTACTTTTTAAAAACATGATAGACAACCTGAATATGTAATAAAGCAATAGACCTTTCAACCCAACTCTATTTTTTATGCAGTGTACAGCAGACGCTAATGTGTTTGTCACTTTTAACGGACTAAAACTTAAAGTAATGTAAGTACATCCACGCTTTACACGCTGCATGGTCGTACTGTCTTCCACACTATTATCTATTGTTGAGCTACACACATCTGTTGCTGCCACGGGCGTCACTTGTGCTTACGTCATTGTCATGAGACACCCTCACAAACAAAATCCCGACGGTTTAGTAACGCAGTAACGCAGCTTGCATACGGGAAACTAACAGTAATCTAATTACTTCCTTTGCTATAGTAATCCCTTACATTACTTGTTACTTGAAAAAGTAATCAGAGTACAGTAATGCGTTACTTATATCTCTGCTGTACTCTCCCTCCTTGCGAACAAAACAGTATGCGTTGGGTGGATGAGACAGGAAGTGTTTTGTGGGACAGAGATGTCAAGAACACTGGACGCACGTGTGTTTCTCTTCTGACTGTGAAGCTTCAGAGTGGCAACAAGAAAACAATCCTCTTGCACTCAGTTTATTCTTTTTTTTTTTTTAGATGACCATCTTATGCTATATACACATTTTTCTGAATGTGCTCTTTTCTTTGCAGTGGGGGTCAGTAAAACCAAACACGTCTTGTATCTAACACCTGGAAATGATGTCATTATGCCCTGTGACAATGTGCCTGATACATGCTCCATGGTTGTCTGGGCTTACAGCAAACACGGGTCTCAGACAATAAATATGGTTCAAAATGGAATTGTTGAGAAGAACTCAGCTCAAGCTGCCAGACTGAGTCTGCACAGTAACTGCTCACTGAGTATTAACAACATCACTGCAGAGGATGCTGGTCAATACTTATGTCGGCCTGAGGGGAACGCTCTTCAGGACACAACTGTGGACCTAAATATTTTAACCAGTGAGTATTTAGACTTCCATGGACTTCCATATATCCATATCTGTAAATGACACCGTACATTAAGCATTAAACACACCCGTTATCACCACACTTACTATTATGAGGGATACAGCATTGATTTCCCTCTACACGTGTCATGTAACTGAATGTAACACCTTCTTGGGGAATTAAAATTCTCGTGTTGAAACATGGAGGCAGGTCTTTAAATGAAAAGAGTTTATATTCCATTGGATGAGAGCAGTAAATCTGGCCATTGCTTATGTATTCATTTCAAATTTTATATTCTAAATTAGTAAAACCACTATTAGATAATCACTTATTTAAGCTATTAAAATACCAGGAGAAAAATAGAACTTATTTGTAATGTCTCACAAGGTTTCTCACATTTAAGAAGATAATCCAGATGTTTTGAACTTGTATAACTGTTGTCACTCGTGTTCTCTCCTCAGTTTCAGCATTTCCATCAGACGCTGATCCAAAGGAGGATGGAAACGTCACGTTAGAGTGCTCTCTGTTTAGATACTATACTATCTCTCCTTGTAAACAAAACAGTATGCGTTGGGTGGATGAGACAGGAAGTGTGCTGTGGGACAGAGATGTCAAGAACACTGGACACACGTGTGCTTCTCTTCTGACTGTGAAGCTTCAGAGTGGCAACAAGAAAAGATACACCTGCCAGTTTGAAGATAACAATACTGTGAAGATAGAAGCTCACTACCCACCTGTCCTCATAGGTAGGATAACATCAATAAGAAAAGTAAATGAAGATAAGACAGGATATAAGAGTGAGTCACCTTTTAAAAAGTGAATTACATACCTTTTAATGACTTTTGAAAGACTTTTAATGCTGACTACTTTGAATCCTCTGACAGATTCCACCCCAAACAAGGCTTTCATCATCATTGGTGCTGTGATGCTGGTGCTGGTGGTTGCCGTCATCGCTGCTGTTTTCATCAAATACAGGAGGCGTGCTAAAGTGACAGAGGGTTAGTAATTATAGTACATATAAATGTGGTCATTCTTGGGTCATCTACTTATCATCTAGTTCATCTAATATTATTATTACTATTATATATTATTACAAGAGCTCTATCCCATTTTGAGCAATCTGCAATAATTGCAGCTTAATGTTAACTTGTGAAAATGCTACATTTTCACTGTGGTTACTTAAGTCTAATATACTTTGCACTGGAAACTTGATTTAAGAAGCTCTACATTGTGATTATTGATTCTACTTTTTCTTCCAGACCCCACCCAACCCAAACATGTAAGTATATTGATTCACACTATATATGATATGTTTTCACATATAACAGAAATACCTTTGTTTAATATTAATATAACCTTTACAAATGAACTTGTTTCTTGCACATTATTGCCACTGATCACTCGGAAAATTGCAACATGCTGACCGTGCCACAGTATATGATGACAATGTGTTCTTCCCTTTTCTTGTTTAGAATGAGGAAATACTTCAAGGAGTCTTGGGCCAGTTGATCTCGGTAAATAGTTCATGTATCTATAATAAATATAGTAATGAACATAGTAATAAATTAAATTATTATTTATATAATTAATTGGCTTAATTTGCTGTCTAAAGTATTCCAGTTAAACCTGGATTCATCAGATTACTGTGTATGTTGAACTCGAATACGGTATTCGGAGAGGCACAAATAACGTGTTTTTTACGAATACTTATTTCGAACAAATACTTTAAAAAATATATTTGTATTCGGGAACAAGAAAAACTTTATATCAAAAAGCTGAGTTTCCTTATGAGACCGCTGTGCATGACTGGATGAGTGAGTGACGTGTGAAAGAGGTGACTGACACAGGCTGCTCCACACAACAACAGAGACAGTTCGGCAGAGCGAAAAAAGACTGAACTGCATCACTATTTTTGTTGAATACATTTTTTTGTACCTTAACTGGGTTCCGGACGCAGTTTATAACTTTCGCGAAGATCGGGAGACTATTCCATTACGCTGCATTACTGACGACTGCAGTCGAGTCTCTCATGTTCGTTCTGTTTACGTAGCTCTGTTAGCTCGGTAATTTACAAATAGGCTGTTGACTGTTGAGTAACGTTAACGTTCGGTTAAAAAGGCTAAAACAATGCTTGTGTAGTTGTGTCGAATTTTATGCATTTGTGGAAACATTTTACAGTCAGTACTGTAGGTGAAACCAAAGCGATATGTAATGTGTGCAAAAGTCAAATCAACAGAGGCAGATACATCAAACATCTGTCAACATCTGCTATGCATAATCACATGCATTTAAAGCATTCTCTCTTGGTACTGTCTTCATTATATTAAATTATTAAAACCAGGACACTACATCCATCTGTTATTTAAAGTCTGTATGGATAGAGAGGGGAAAAATACATACCTGTGAATAAGTGGACAGGTGCACTTTGCAGCAGTTTAAAGCTGGTTTGAGATGCAATGAGTAACTGAGGAACAACAATTACTTTCTTTTTGGCACAATGGCATAATAACCTCAGCCTGCTTGTAATTCCTGTTCTCTGACTTCACTGGTTTTAGTGGATGTTTTAAAAGGATTTTTGGGTTAGTTTCACCCTTTCATACAGAATTTTACTAAGAGTAAAGCCAAAATAAAGTCTTTATTTGAAAGTTAACATTTAGTTTTTGAGACTATGTTTGATCATCATGTGTCTGAAATAGAATCTATTTTCATTCATGTTTTTGCTTTTTGAACCACTGTGTTTGCTTTCAGGATGAGCCAGAGAGCAGCATCACCTATGCTACTATTGACCACACTGATCAAAATGCCTCACTGAGGAAAACTGTAACTATTTTTTTTCTTTTACTTATATTCCATTTTAAAATTACTTTTGGGCTATATAACAGTTGTAAATTCATATTTTATTCTTTAACCCATTTGATTTGAACCAGTGATTTTTTTGAGAAACAAAAAAAGCAAAACAAAATCTACTCTCTACTGTTTGTTATGGTCTGAATTATTTAAAGCCTTTAATTTTCTGTTATACAGATTAAAAAGGAGGAAGCGGTGACTTATTCTGCAGTGAAGACAAAGGTAGAAAGTGACCCCAGCGGCTTCTACAGTAACATCAGCTAAACTTACCAAAAATAAATCAGAGGAAATAAAACTTCTCATAATGCCACTGCTTTTATTTAAGCTTGCTGTTGTCAGAGATAAACATAACCCTACATCTTTATCAGCTTCAAATACATACAAACATGAAATATGGCAGCATTACCGTAAAATACATGAGTTCATCCAACTAAAGAAGTAAAAAGTTTTTTGTATAATTGTGTGTGTGTGTTTTTGACATGTTATTTAATTTTTTAGTTTAAGTCATCCATAAATTAAATTGTTCTCCTCATGGTCCTGGGTATTTGACCTAGGTGTTTGAGCTTGGTTGACTTGTTCTTGATTTTTGCAGAATATTGAGTTTCCGATGTTCAGTGTAGAGTGCCTCTGTTACTTAAGTTCTAGTTCTTAGTTCTTGTTTAAATTAATTCCCTCTCTGTCTTTACTCGGGTTGTCCTCCTCAGCGTCCACAGTGTGTAGTCAGTCATGTCAGAATTATAGGACTATGAGGAGGAATAACAATTAGATGGTAACTTGTGGGTTGTAAATGTGAGTCTGGCCAGTTCAGGGCTCAAGGACACCACACTCAGGGTTGTCATAGGTCTGGTGAATCCCTTGCTAAAGGAGCTTTTAACCCTCTCAAAGCAGACGTTGCTGATTTGCAACAGTTAAAAACTAACAACCTGATTACCCCACATACATATTTTATGAGGTTTTTTTTACTCAGAAGTACCACTGCAGGACTTGGTTGTGCATTAGCAACAAAAAACTTAATTTTAGCCTGAGAGGGTTAACCTGTCCAGGATGAACCCCGCCTCTCACCCTATGGCAGCTAGGATAGGCTCAAACCCGTCCACAATGATGACTTGGATAAGAAAACAGATTGATAGAATAGCTCTAATAATCACATTCCAGTTAGGAACATTCAAGAAAAATTGACTATTATAATGTACCCCTGGACTACAGTGTAGTCTCCACTCTCACAGAAAATAAAGGCATACAATAACTTCTATAGAAAAAAAACCCCCCAACACAATGTTTAGGGAAATGGCCTCATTTATTCCACAGTGCTGCATTTTGTAAAAATAACTTTGAGTCCTACTTTAGTTTTCAAATATTCAAACGCTGAAATGCATGAAGAAATACTGTGAACCATGTGCTTTGTGCAGACTTCAGAGAGTCCATGGAGCAGTCTCCGCTGAGCTATGCCATGTGGCATCTTCGCATGGCAGCATGCTCTGCATTTAGAGGTAGCTTTGTCTAAGTGTGTCCAGTGTTGGGTGCTTTTTTGGTTGAGCCAATTTAATATAAGTTTGCTCTGCTGATGTTATCTCAGGATGTTAGTGCAGGAGATGAGCCCTCATGTTTTTAGTATTCACAGATTATTTTTTAATTTATTTAATAAACTATCATATCCCTGTGTGAATATATAAAATAACTACAAAAGATATTATAATACCATCAACCCCACACCCCAAACTCTAGTACTCACAGGAATGGTCACATGTTTTTTCGAGATAACTGATTGGTCAGTAGGTAATGACATCATACTGTAAAGATTGACCCGACACACTGTGATGCTGTTCACTTGAGGAGTGTTTATTGAAGCAACACACATGTGGCTTTATGTTTTGGCACACTGTTCACCAACTTTTGAGTTCGTCATCTGCGAACACTCCTCCCTCTAGCCTCTGGCTTCTCTATATAAAAAGGGAGAAATCTTGTTAGGAAAATCATCGTCACCTGTCCCTCCAGCCTCCTTGGCACCACCCACTTGAGCTTAACTGCCCCACTCCTCCCCTGCAGCTTAGCCAGCGATCACACCGCCGCCACACATACCTGTTGATTTCAGGCAGTAGAACCTGTTCTCTAACAATTAGAGATCTCTAAGATTAGTAGTTCAATCCCAGGTTCCATCAGCTCTTGACTAGGTTTGATCTCCTTGTCCTGGATCTAGCCGTGAGTGTGTGTGACTGCTAGAAAAAGTGCTTGAAGGCCTATTTGAATTGGTGGCTTGTAGTAAAAAGCAGTATGAGAGCAAGTCCAGTTATCATTACCAAGAAAGAGGCACAAAGCTAATTTTACAGAACAGAGAAAGATGAGGCAGAGAGCAGGAAGAGTAAAACATGGACAGTAAAACAGACAAAGACTCAACAGTATCATTAGAAATTACTCTTACAAAAATAACAAAATCAAAATGGGAATTCAAAACTGAATGTAGAGCACAAGAACAGCAGTAAAATCAAACAAAAAAGTGCCCAATGCCAGGGACTGTGACCCATATTCAGATTCATACATACCCTGTCAAACTGTGCAGATACATTGGGTGAGGAATGGGACTATTTCACAAGTTTTTCTCTGAAATCAGGAACAGGAAATGTTATCACTTCTGTTCTTCTGTGCCAGAGAGCCTAATTTGAGCCTGTAGAGAGAGATGCAACAACACATTTCTTCACTGTTAACAATCCTGATTTTTATGCTTCAGTTTGAAGGTAATTACTCAGATGTTCTTTTCTTACTTTTGTGCTTGACTATGTTGCTATGAAATATGAACATTTAAATTGTTGTAGCCATGAGGAAAATTATCATCAATTGCCAACACAAAATGACAACATCTTTGTATTCTTAATTTGATCAATTCCATTGACTTTAACCACAACAGAAAACTGAAAAGGTTATGATCCAGCACTTCACACAAAGCAGGTTAGGCTACTGTAGATTCTGCTTATTCTATATCTTACTATGCACATAGCAATCAATTAAGTGTTCATTCTAGTTGAATATACAGCACATTTCTCTTATTTATTACTGTTTATTTCTATTGTTTATTAATTATTAATTATAGAATTAAATCTGCATATGATTGTTAGAATAATGTTTACATCTTCAGTTGGCTGAGAGGTGCAAATGACAGGATAGAAGCTACTAGAAAAACACAGATCTTTTCACAGGTCTTGATAGGGACAATATAGAGTTAAGAACTTTATGGACAGATAAGATTTTTGTAGTTTTGCCTCTGTACATCAGTACCAGTGGATTTTAATTCAAACAGTCAAGATGTGATTGCAATGCTGACTTTTGGCTTTAATTTAAAGGCATCTTATAAAAATTGTGCATTAACTGTTCAGAAATCATAGCTGTTTTACACTTTCAGAGGCTTTGTAGAGGCAATTGTACAATTGACTGGCAAGTGGTTTCATGGCCGGGGGGAGACTTTTTTCTTTCTTTTGTATCTCATGACGAATAAAACAGATAATATATATTAATTTGATTCAAACTGTTGCTTTCCACTGGATTTCTAAATATGAGGCCCAAATAGAAGACTGGAAGTGATGGAGGACATCATTAGGCAGAAAAACAGAAACCCTGTCAGAGAGATGGTAAAAACTTCAAGGGCATGCACAGTTTCCGAAAAAAAAAACCCTTTCAACAGATGAAACTATTATATCCTTAAACTTATGTACAATACCCGCGCCAACCCAAAATTATGGTAAAATGTGCAGTAGACATGCCAGTTCACCTGAGTTTTTTCATATCCCATATGCCTTGCCATGGAGTTTTAGAGCCGACGGAGATATCATTTTCTGGCGGCTTTTAGAAACCAACAACTGGGAGTGTCATGACTCACTCTATGAAGTCTATCTCTGATCAGTACAAAATGCTGGTAGGTCAGTGCTGCATCAGGGCGCACCCCTTGGGACCTTACTGGATCCCTGTACGTGCCTCCTGAGCCAGAGAGTCTGTTGGGACGTCAGCAACACCAAACACCTGGCTGGCTTCCATCAATGGGCACTCCTGGTGGAAGTGTCCACGCCCAGTCTTGACCTACAGGTCCTCTAGCTGCCTCCCATTCACAACTGCCTGGATCTGCCCATCATCTGGGCCACCTGAACTGGCTGCGGTACCTGTGGGTTTGACATGTCACACCGGGAAGTTGGGCACCACTGTAACACTCGTTACAAGAACCCCAGCAGTTTCTGGAGCCTCTTCCTCTAGGCCCCAGCAACTACTAGAAATAGGGAAGGTGTGGTTAGGATGATGAAAATCAACTGCGCCAGCAGGCCTTCCCTGGCACTGTCCATTGAACGCACTACTCCACCCCTCCCCTGCAGCTGAGCTGCAAACCACATCCTGCCACAGTAGTGTTATTCATTTGCCAAGTCAGCCATCTGATCTCAACCCAACAGAGCATATTTTTCCATTATTAAATACAAAGCTGAATTCAGAGAGACCCACAAACAAACAGCAACTGAAGGCTGGACTAGCAGAGGATCTCAAAGGAGGAAAAACTGCATTTGTTGATGTCCATGGGCTTTAGACTTCAGACAGCCATTGACTGCAAAGAATTTTTAAATGTTAAAAACAACTGCTATATTTCAAATTATGTTAGTTTGCTCAATTATTTTCGCTAACTCAAAATAAGGGGACCATATTTATAAATGGCTGTAATTCTTAAATTCTACAGAGAAATACCTGAGCTGGCCAGCAGATTCAAACCCAGGACTCTCTTGCTATGAGATGTACCAACATCATACAGGTTTTATATACATGGTCCCCTTATTTTCAGGGGCTGAAAATAATTTAGCAATATAACATAATTTGAAATGTAGCAATTGCTGATGATCACAATATCATGTCACCCTAACTTAAGCCTTTAAATAAAAGTCAGAAAAATAAGTGAAGGAATGTAACCTACATCACAGAAATGATCACAGAAATGATTATGAAAAAAAATATGAAAGTTCAAATTAGCATGAGTATGAGAGGTTCCTATTAGTCTTATAGGCTGTGTGCAAAAAATGAACATTTAAGTTTCCTGTTTCTTGATATTGATTGATAGGTAAATACATGGATTCAAAGAAAAAAGAAAGTAGAATAAACATGTTTATTTCTTTGCAGCATGCATCAGTGAAACCTACATGGATCTTTATTACACACCGGGAAATGATGTCGTTCTCCCCTGTGATAACACATCCTCATTGAACTCATCATGCTCCATCATTACGTGGTTTTATAACAGAGACAACTCTGAGACAATAGAAATGGTTTGGAATGGCACTATTATGGAGAACTCAGCTCAAGCAGCCAGACTGAGTCTGTACAGTAACTACTCCCTGGGCATCAGGAACATTGTTGCTGAAGATGCTGGCCTTTACTGGTGTTGGTCTGGGAACACTACAGCCCAGGATACAATTGTGGGTCTGCATATTTTGAACAGTGAGTAATTAGACTGTAATAATTCTGAGCTTGGACAAATCTCACATCCTTCTCTTCACTTTGACTCTCCTCCCAAACAGTTATGTTCACTACATTTTTGTCTTAATAAATTAACTGCGTACACAGAACATTCAGCAAGCAGTAACTGCAGACTAACAAACTGTGAAAGAGGCGAAAATTTGACTAAACATCGTATAACAGTTTTAGTTTGGGCATTCAAAAGGTTTCAGATTCATGCCGACCTCTGAAACAACAGATTAAAAGTGAAATCTCACCAGTGTCTAGTGAAATTTGTTTGAAATGTGGGAAAAGTTCTCAGGACCTGTTACAGAGTTTTAGATTTCTTTCATCATCTGTTTTCTCTCAGTTTCAGCATCTCAGACACAAAACTGGGATGGATACATCACATTAACGTGCACTCTCTTCAAATACTCTGACTCCCAATTGTGTGGCGAGAACAGCATCGTCTGGTTGAACGAAACAGGAACTGTGCTGCTTGGCAGTGGTGCGAGGGACATTGGACCGATGTGCGTTTCTCTTTTGACTGTGAAACCTCAGAAGGCCCACAACAAAACATACACCTGCCAGTATATCAAGAAAAACAGTGTGAAGATAGAAGCTCACTACACAACTATAGGTAGGATAAGAAGCTTAAATGAATTTCAAAATAATCTGAATTATGCACTTCAATAAATAAAGCTTTGGTTTTATTTGTAGAAGTAATTTACTGTAGTTTCCAAATATTCAAACATTAATTTGACCAGAATTTAATAATAAAGTTACAAAAGCATGACAGTTTTTGTACTGTTTTTCATAGAGTACACAGATCAGCTTCCTGTGAGCTACATCATGTGGACTCTTCGCATTGGAGCAGTGATCCTAATGACTGCAATCACTGTTTTTGTCCTGAGAGACAGAGGTGAGACGATTTAGATCCTAAAGAGCACTGATAAACAATCTGACATTTGAATCTAATTGCCGTGCTCTCTGTCTTTTCAGGATGCAAAAAGCCACTTGAAGACACAAGAGTGAATTAAAAAAAACTCATAAGATTTGAAATTTATATCACGTGTTCTTATTTCAAAGTAAGCTTTGGACACCAAACGACATCTTTGTGTCAATATAAGCATTTTACTATTTGTGTCACAGTTAAATTAGAGACTGTGTGTCTCTAATTTAATGTTCATACTTCTCAGATAATCCCTGAACTAGGACTGAGTTGCACTCACCTGGTCAGAAAATGAAATGATGAAATGCTCTTTTGTATGAGAGCAGAGCCTGAGGGCCTGAGAGCCTGGGTTAGCAGATAAAGATAATAACCACGCTCAATCCCTGATATTTCTGACTTGGATCTTTGGTTTTGCCCACTCATCTAAGACAAATAAACCTGACCTTGCTTCACTAAACATGAATTTCCATTTTAATAATCCCCCACATTTCTTCCCCATCTGTGGTAAATTTTCCAGTCATTCACCCCGGTATTGTTACCTGCCTTTGGACTGTCACAATGATAAGGATATGGGCTTTTGTTCACTGCAGTTTCAGTTCTTCTTGTTGAATAAAATGTAGCAGCATTGCACATCTACACAAAAGATACCAAATTATGGAATTAAAATGTTATGACTAATTTTGGGATCTTGTGTTATTTAAATAGTAATTGGGCAATAGTAACTACACAAATTCCTCTAAAATTCTGCCTTTTAATTCATAAGAAATAGGAAATGTCATCACCTTTTCTGATGTAAAGCTTGTTTACAGAAATCCAGCTATAAATGTCTTCACCAACCTTTTATAGAAGACTGTAGGCGGCCCGATGAACATAAGCTTTAACGCAATACTGATTTCATCATTAGGTTCTTTTTTGTAATGTCTGAATAATTTCCTCTGGAGTTCAGTCAATTAATTTTTAAAACTAACACAGAGACATTAAGATCTCATTTATTCAATTTCATAGGCTGTGAACTCAAGATGGCTGAAGCATGCACAAATAGAAGAGCCCCTTTATGGATAGTGCAAATATCTGAGGGTAAAGAGTAATGCTGACGAACTGCTGCATGAAAACACCAGGATGACAAACAGACAATCCGATGAGGGACAGAGGGAAACACACTCTATATATCACACCGAGGGTAAATTCTATTTATACATTTAGAAATACAGAGAGACCCCAACAATTAAACACTTGGTGAAAATGAAAAAGAAAATCTCCCTTTTAAGTGAAAAGACAGTGGCTCCGGCTCTACAGGTTTATTTATGATTGTATTTAATTATTAGTTTATTATTAGTGGCTAAACCTATAGACTATAGTGTAACATCTTGTTTTCAAATGGGTCCACATATGCTGTTTATTAGTTTCTGCTAGGGCTGCCTTGCTTAACGTACAGGTGTTTCCCATTAAGTAGCTGTTGGTAGAATAAAAGCACTGAAAAGTACAGCGGTACTCAATAAAGCCAAGTTATGATTCTTAAGCTTTAATATTTGTCATTCCTTGAACAAAGTAGTTCTTAATAATTCCCCTGGATCGTTGGTTGAGCCTAATTTTGTGAGACATCTGGAAAAATAAAAACCCTGCGTTAAATATTGTATTACTCGTTTCCTCAATTCTTTCCTATTTAGACTGCTTAAATGATAAAAGTGAAGATCTAAACTTGTATTTGTATCTGTATTTGTAGCTTCTTATCTAAATACTTTAAATGGCAGCATTGCTGTAAAAGAAACAAGTTTATGAAGTTAAATACAGAATACCTTAAATGATGCGTCCTTTGTAGCTATGGGTGACTTAATCCAGGCAGAATTACAAATACGGACTTTATTAAATATACTGATTTTATTTAAGAGCCAAGTCAACTTAAAGAAAAAGCTAGGCTGTTATTTATTTAAAAAAGACACCAAACCCTCATTTCTGCTAGAAAATAAAAACAAAATCATAAAATTGGTGGGAATAAAGAATTAAATACATATAGAAAGAAAGATAAACTCATTTGGTTGCAGGCGACTGCAAGTAGAACTTATATTAGGTTTTAAAAGCTATGAAGGATTTTTGTAAGTTTTTTTCAGTTAAGTCACAAAATGACTAAAGTTAGTGTAACATACATCAGTTTCTATTTAACAGACCGTCACTGAAAAGATACAAAACAACCCAAAAATATAAGCAAGTTTTGAGATTTTAAAAGAAATTTATTCATGCCATGCTTTGACAGAATAAGTCAGACATGTTTTACATATGCTGTGGGACCAGCGCGCTTACGTGACAGCATCTGAGCTTCAGTTTGACCACTTCCTTTCCATTTATTTGAAAATTGTGAACATGTTTCTTACAGGAATTTATGTTCTTGGCATCTATGTCGGTACATTTTCTCTATGTTGCTGCAAATGTTAGTTATTATTTTGTTTGATGATGGTGATGATGAGGATGATGATCATGATGATGAGGATGATGATGATGATTTGTGTTGTCTTTTCTTCTGAATCTGGTTTTCTGAGTAGCAGTGATCAGTGGACAAATGTACCACCTCTATCACAGACCTGGAGATTGTGTCACACTACCCTGTGACAGCCTATCTGATACATGCGCCATGATTAACTGGCTTTACAACAAAGACTCATCTCAGACTAAAATACTGGTTCAAAATAGTAACGTGAAGCAATCAGCTCAAGCTGCCAGGCTGAGTCTGCAGAGTAACTGCTCTCTGGGCATCAACAACATCACTGCAGAGGACGCTGGCAAATACTTCTGTCGGCCTGAGGGGACCACTGGTCAGGGCACAAGTGTCTATCTGCATATTTTGACCAGTGAGTACATGTCAAAGGAATATTGTTTTTATATAATGTGATCAGCTTCATGAAATCTATTCTTTTATTGATCACTGAGCAAATGTCTACGTGACTTTTGACATGTACTTTTGTGTGATAAACAACTAATAGCTTCCTCTTTCTGTAAGAACATACAGAATTAGAAAAAGGGGAACCTCAGCTCAGAGTTCTTAGAATAAGAAGCTATTTGTACACACACAGACATACAGACAAGTATAAATAAAGAACGCAGACAGTGATGAGACGCAGGTCGTGCGTCCATGACTGCCCTCGCGAGTAAAGACAACTGCAGTGTTTGTGTTTTCTAACTCAGGTGTCTTAGCTGAAGAACTACGGGATGATTTAAAGAAATCCCCTGTCATTTAAATTGGTTCTTCGAGCTTAGTGATGGAAACAACAGACACGTTTCTGTGACTCCAATCCAAGGTCTGACTGCTGTATCCTGACGTCGTGGGAAGCCAGCACCGAAGTCTGTCGACAGCCCTCTCTAGGTAGAGGTGAAAGACCTGGGACGTTAATTCGGGTCCAGGCCGGTGAACTTTTCTGGTCCACG